GGGTCCTTGTTATATGTGTGTATTTTTGTATCCTCTCATGTGTTAATGCACCTCAAAGTAAATTTCCCTTGATAAAAAGGTAAAAGTTAAAATTTTTCCCCCAAACATTGTGGGGCGGATGTTGGGTCCCTAATAGGTCCCTCAACCCAATGGTTTGATAAAAAATTAAACTTTTTTTTTTACACCTTTTTTTTTAATTATAATGGATCCAGGGGTGTGTTGGGTAAATTCTTTTTACTAAGGCCTTCAATATCATTTTTTACCAAAACATTTCCAATCTTTTGATTGTATAGGTTGGTTTTTGGTTTTGTTCCCCCCGCTGACCTCAAGGGGATCCTTGATTAGTGTCCAAGGCATAAAGTAATTATTTTTAATAAAAGGCCTTTTCCCCCATTGTGTTTAAGTATTCCAAAGGACCCCCCTCCTGGCTCCGTGTGCCCCAGGTTGCCACATGATAAATAATATAATTTTTTGGTAAAAACCCCAATGGAGAAAACACACTATAAAGGGGCCGGGTAGAGGACCAAATGTTGAATGCATGGGCGTGGGCATAAACCTGTGATTAAATTGGGAACATGATTTTTTCATAATGGGAACCTTGGTCCCCAAATGGAGGTCCCTGCCCCCGGGGTGAAGAATGTGTAGTGCACGAACCATTCACACTACATGATGGACACAACACCGGGAATATGCGGAGACGCACCCCAATAATCTCACCACTATAAAACTTCCCAAAATAACAAGAAATGGAAGTTTGAAGGATCAGCCAAATAAAACTTGGCCATGTGGTGATAACCCCCAATCTGAAATATCGGCTTTACACCACAAATGCCCAACACTGGAATGTTGAGTAAAAGCTTAGGTATAAGGGTAGATTATTGGTGTTAAGGCTCCCCCACGAATGAATATAGCCCCCCTTGCAAAAATCCCCCTGTCCACCCTAATTCCCATGTTGGTTGTTTGGCCCCTAAGATTTTTTTGAAACACTATTCCCCACTGCCAACCTGTTAATGTGGGGAATAGGTAAAATAGTCAGCCCCAGACATATGGTATGTAATGTGCAAAAAATGTTCTAACCGCGCTCAAGCGGGAACATTGTAATGCAGGAGGGTTAGGGGGGTTTTGGAGGGTTTGGGAGACCAAGAACAAGCTTGTTTCCAAGGTGCCACATCGGGGGGTTAGGGGTCATCAATAAATAGCAACCTGAATGCTCTTTAACATTTGACCAACATTGCCAGGTGGTGTATGGGGGGGGGGGGGGGGTTATATTCGGAACAGTACCAATCATCACCGGGGAGTAATTGGAATGGGAGCAACCCATGTAAAAGTTCCGTCAAGGCCTCATGTCCCGATGTTGCCTTTTTGGGATTGTCCATTGATTAAAGCTAAGGGCCAGTAATAGGAAAAAGGTGGGGCCCTGGCCTCCGGTCCGCATTCCTCCCCTCCGGCGTTGACGATGAACAAGTGCTAATAAATTTGCACCATGGACACGCTGGACCTTTTGGCTCCAAACGAGGCCTAGAGTTTTAATGTGGTATTTTTTCCACCAATAAAAAAAGAGAAAAGGTGGTTTGGTGGTTATTTGGGAGGAAGCCCAGGGCCACCCCTGTGACCCCACAGCCAGGGGTGGTACTGGGGTGTTAAAATAAAAACTAACACAATAGGCCAACGGTTTAATATCAATAAAAAAATACCCCCCCCCATAGAGACAGGGAAGATGTATGGGTAAGCCCCCCCAATATGTTGCAGGCCTTGAATAATTCAATCAAACTCCCCCCCTAAATATATATAATAACAGAAATAGAATATAATATGGGTTCTTTTTTAAAGGCGGGGTACCCCCCCTGCATTTTTGTTTATGTATCCCGCACAGGAAAAGAAGAAAATCAATACAAAAAACCCCCAGTTTACAACGTAAAAGGAATTTGAAATAAAAAGTACAATGGTGGGGCTTGGGCACCAACCCTCCTAACAGTCCCCCCAATCACCACATTAGTGGGTGTTGGGGCCTGTTGTAGTTTTGTAACTGGGGGGTAGGAATAAATGCCGGATTAGAGCTTGTATTTAAAAAATAAACAGGAGCCCCAATGTGGTGGGGGGGGAAAAAGACTGGGAGACCAACAATAGAATTGTTGTGTGGGAGCCCCCAATACACCACAAATAATATATCCATTCAGATGGGCCCTTGACCTGTTGGCCCCAAACAAGGGTTCCAATTTGTTTTTGAAATTTTCCATACTTTTTCACCCGTATACTACAAAAGGGGTTTATATAAAATATTTGGCAAGGACCCCAGGTTGTTTTATTTTTTTTTTTTGTTTTATTACTCCTTTGGCCGCGGGTGACACACCACACCCCTTGGGATGGAGACCCCCACCTGTGGTACCCCCAACCTCGGAAGGAAGTGGGTCCCCTCCATCAGCCCTCAGTGGCACTGGGTTTTACAATGACAGGGACGTGACCACCTCCTGCGGGTAATCCCCCCCCCGATACTGGAGGGCTTGTAAGAAACCCTGGGTAATTGTCCCTAAAAGAAACCAAAAAGTGTGTGTAAGAAAGGGCTGGTTGGCACTGCTGCTTTGAATGTGTGTGACATGTGCCCTGTTTAAAGTACCAAGACTTTCTCGTCCTCCCCCGGCGCCAGGTTTGTTTAAGGAAATAGCGGGCCCCCCCTTTTTTCCAGTTTAGGCCAGCGTCCTGGCCTGAGCCCCGCCTCCATGCCTGGCCTACGCCTTGCCCAAATCACGGAGCAGAAGGGGACCTTGAAAGTTGGTCAGTGGTGTTATAGGGCCTACCCAATTGGCCTGGAGTGTTATGAAAAAACACAGTAGTCCACAAAAATTAGAAAAAAATAAATCCAACATAGGGGCCCTGGTATTGCAAGGAATACATGAGGCACGGTGTTTATACACACTACACACCAACCAAATGTTATAAATATATGCCACCACCAAAAATGGGGAAAAGATAACTGTGTGGGGGGGGGGCCACATGGTTTGTACCAACGAGTAACTGACCGTGTAAATAGTGTAGGGGAAACACCCCCTATAGTTAAGGCCTAATTTGGGGGAAGTTGTAAAATTAGGGTCCGGATAAAAAAACTCCATAATGTGAAGTTTTTGGGACACCCGGGGGAAGGAGGAGGAGACTCGGCTTGTGGGATAAACCCTGGCAGAGGTGATTCTGGGAATTTGGGAGGTGGTTGCCCAGACCCTCCATAATATAAATAATATAAGAAATAAATAATAACAAAAAACATAAAAATAAGGAACTCCCGAACAAACAAAAAAAAAAAAAAATACTCCCGGCCCCAACCATACCCTTGGCTAGCATATAAAGAAACATGTAGTATACCCTATATACATTTAGAAGTACCCACCCAAAGCCAAAAATACAAAAGTGAAAAACTCGAATGACATGGAAAACCAAGATATTCCATTTCACCTTTTAACACCCGTCCCCATTTTCCAGCTCTCCACCCTTTCTACCCGATAATAATTTAATCCCCCCCCGAAAAGCCATGCCGGCAATTGAGACAATACTGTTTCCCCCCCTTTCTTCCCCTTCCACTTTTTACCAAAAAATGCCCCCACTCCTGGCCCCCCCATTTAAACAAAGACACCCGTGTCACCACCCAGCCACAACCCAAGGGCAAAGCCTTTTATTTAAAGGCCCCCGGATACCATTGACGCCCAAGCCACCATCCCCAGTGGCATTGACCCTGCCGCCTACCCCCCCTCCCCCCCCACAAAGTGGACATCCCAGTACAAAGATTTTATAAAATTTTATATAATTATTAGGCACCCATACCATGAAAAGCTTTGGCTCAGGTTAAATAGAGGCTCCCCCCACCTGTTGGGGGGGGCTGGGTGGGGTAAGGGCTTGGTTGTAGTTGACGAAGTGGACCCTCGGGGGGGTTGGTGGGGGGGGCTACCAGGGGTGGGCAATGGGAATATGAGTGGGTTGACAAAGGGTGGTCGCACTCACAGCGGACCTACAAGGGACTGTGCCCCTCGCCCTAGACAATAAACCATCTAAAAAACCCAAGGTCACGGGATATTTGTTAGGTGTTTGGCTGTAAACATCCCCCCTCATAATTAGGGGAATAAATAGGGGGGTTTGGGTGGTTTTTGGGGGGGGGGGAAGTGTGGGAAAAATGGGTCCCCGGGGGAAGTGGTAATAATGATGAAACATTTTTGGGGTAAATAGATCTATTGGTGGGGGGGTGTTTGTTTTGGATATCAAGATGGGGTTAGATATAGTAGAAAAAAATGTGGGTATAGATGTGAACCCCGTTTGCTGTTTTTTGAGGAGCGAAAGGGAAGGGGTAAAAGAAAGATAATCCAATCAGTGTTGACTGTTGCGGGGCGGTTTTTATTTTTTGTGGATAAATGCAAATTGATGGGGGGACGGTGAATAAAGCTGTGACCGTCCCACCGAGGTGGGTGGGTGTGTTGGGAAATACCCCAGGGACCTAATCACCCCCAGGAGGGAGAAGTTTTTTAGTTGTGTGTGTGTCGAATACCCAGAAATGTGGCCATTATTTTTTTCCATTGAACGGGGGGGATGAAACCCTAGGTATCGAGATTATATAAGGTTATAATAAAAAACCCTAATTGGTCACACCGTAATTCTGCAACCTTCAAAAAGTACATACACCCAGGCCACTGGGCATGGTTGGTGACACAGTCAACCCAACTTGAAACCAATATCATGTATAGAACAGCCCAAAATATAATTCAACCCATGGGCCTAAGCAAGTTGGTGGAAATAAACCCAACCTGTGTAACCGTGTCACATTCCAGTTATTAGGTTTTGTTTGTGAGTTTTTTTGCCAAGCATTGTATGGCACTTTGGACCAGCCCCCCTCACGGGGCTTGCAAGTGGACCCCCACACCGGGGCTAAAAGTAACCTGAATAATGGTTATGTGGTGTAAATAGAAGGGGGGAGGGGGGCTTAGCCTGGTTTTTTACTCCAGAATCCAAACACAGATAAGCTAATGTACTGCAGAGGAACCAAGACCCCTCCCCTGGGTGCCCCCTCCCTCCCCTGCCAAACCAATCCCACCAACCAAACCCACAAATATGCTGCCATCCCTGTTTACCCCACTTCGTGGGTGGGTCTGCTTCATGGGTCAACCTCCCACCCTCCAAAAATGCGCCAGCTATTAATATTTGCGTTGAATTAAAACGATTTTAAAGATGCTGGTCCCCCCAATTTTAGTGTGTGTTTCTAAACCCATTAACTTATTCTACCCCAGAGACCCCCATGAAATATGTGGAGTCCAAAAAACCTGTTGGTTTCGCCAAATATTAGTTTTGTGTGAACAGTTAATACCTTTTCCCCTGGGGACCCCCCCTGAACAACCGGTCCCTGTGAGCGCCCAAATCCTGCCCCTGGGACGACCCCACTGGAAGCCTCTGTACAATTTTGGGGGGTAATTTCTTGTTTTTTTGAAAGCTGGCCGGGCCACACCCAACCGACGATGGGACCCGCCCGCCACAAGCCCAAGGACCATAACGTCATGATGCCCCCAAGACCCTGAACGGCAGACCACCCCCCCCCGCCCCCGAAGCCCCAAATGGGTTAAAACCGGGCCCAACCCCCACGTTTCCAACGCACCCCCCACCCTTTAAGTACACCTCCCAGCTTGTAACCCTCCCCCCACAGGTATTCTGAGTAGAGGCAAAGGAAAGATTGTTGTTTAGAAACAGGAAATGTTGAGTGAATCCCCGTCCAGCTCCCCCGAGTGAGACCCCCCCCGTGGGGGGGTTGGAGAAACCATACTTTATCCCAGGAAAGCCCGCCTAAATGTATTTCTAGGACACATTTAGTATTTTTGAAAGAGATGGGGTTTAAAAAATCCGAACAAAACACCCGACCAAATTTGGTGGAAATAGTTTCCTGACCCCAGCCATCACTTAACTTGTTTTTGCAGAAGTCCCCCTGAATCAATGTGTGAATTTTTTTGTTGTAGATTAAAAAGATTTATCCTAGTTTTATTACTAATTTTTGTTTGTGGTTTGTAAAATAAATAACACTTTTAATTTTTTTTGTCCTGCCCCCCGACAGAAAGAAAAGTGTATAATTAAACGTTTTCCAGGTTGTTCCTTTGGAAATAATCATCCTCACCAAAGTAAAGAACAATAATGATGGTGAAGCTGGGGTGCCTATCCAAATCCAATGGGTAAAATATTTTAAAAAATAAGGCCACCCCTCCACGCCTTAAATATACACCCCCCCTAAGCATATAACCACCAGAGAGAGGTCGCGAGTTATGTGATGTTTGAGTATTTTTTGTATATGTTTTATCGTTACAAAAACGTTCAATTTACCTGAGAAGTTGCCCAACCTAAGTTGGTGGGCAAATTCCCCCCAGTGTTTGTTTTTAAAACCTGAGGCTTGTGATTCAAATGCCCCCACTTCCCAATCACCTTATTTGATCCATTGGGTAAACAATGTTTTAGGTGTTATAGTGCCTTTTTTGGGTTCAATTTTGTGTGTTGGGAATTTACCAATCAACCCCCACAGGGTAGAACTCCTTTTTTTTATGTATTGTTATTATTTTATATTTTTTTGTTAAAATTAAGTAGGAAAAGGCTGTTCAGACATTTTTGACATCCGGTAAAAAGGGGGTATGAAGGTTTTATAATTGTGAATTCGAGAGTGGGTAACCAATCCACGAAAATTTTTTTTTGTTGGGGGGTTTGGGCAATTATGTTTTTGCTTTCCAACCCAGAGTCTGGGCGTCCCCTTGAATTTGTGTTTTATGTATTGGGATAATCGGAATTTGATACCTCTACGCCCTACCCCCCCCCAGAACCCCATTAAAGGGCCGGTAAAGTAGGTAGTATTGGGCCCCACCGTTCCCCAGGGAATTGGTTGTGTTCTCAAAAACTGCCACCTAATTTGAAAAAAGTGTGTGGGGGGGTGGGGGTGTCCCCCGATTTGCCCCAATACCATCCCCACGATCCTGTGGGATGCTGGCAGCTCCTCCATCCCCCCGAGGGTAGGAATTCCCAGTCAAGAAGGTTAAGGGGGACCCCCCCTCCCCCGCAACTGTGGACGCCCCCCCACACACCACGCCACATCGGAACTACCCCATTACCCTGGCGCACCCCCCGGTAGCCTGCCTCCTATACCCGGTCGTATTTAGACCCCTCCCCCAACTCCCCACCTCATCCCCCCCCCCCCCCTGGTGGAGGGGTGGGGGGGGGCACAGGCCCCTCAACAAAAAAAAAAAAAAAAAACCTAAAACCCCCACCCATTTTTTGAATATCCATTTTTTTGTGTTTTTCCCCATCCCACCATGGCAAAAAATACACTGGGGTGGGGTGTCAGTGTTATGGGCCTTGGTGAAAAATAGTTATAGGGCGGTTATGTTGCAAAGGTGAATGGTAAAGACCAATGGGAGCACTCACATAATTTAATTTTAAGGTAAATTGTGGGTGTTTTTAATCTGTTGGCCTTTTTTGTTTTTTACATGTTGGTGGTTGTTACTGATGATTAAATCCCCCAAAGAAAAATAAAAATAAAATTTGGGAATGGAAAGATTACATAAGTCCAGGAAAAGGGCCAACCCCCTTGCCGCCCTGTGGGGGGACCCCTGCCCCAAGTGTGCCTGGGGGGAAAGGGTGTTTCCCAGAAGGCGGTGAAGCTCTGGGCGACCCTGGAACACCTGGGAATCACTGGGGGGCTGGTGGGGAAACAGAGGGGTGTTAGGACCAAGCCGAAGGCCGGCCCGGGTAAGGTGGGGGTTAGGGTGTGGGGGGAGGAGCCCATACACCTGTGGAGGTGGGCGTGGGGGGGGCAAGTTTTCCATGATATGGCAGTTGGGGTTGGAACTCGGCAGGCCCAATTCCAGTGAAGGGAGGCAGAGGACAGGTGATGTGGACCAAAAATTTTTTCGTCCTCCCCCCTCCCCGGGTTCCCCAGGAATCACCCGGGCCACGGCATGTTTGCTTTGGTAATTTTTTTGCTGGACCGTTTGGCAGGCACTTTACCAGCCAAATTAGGTTGACACCACACACATTGGTTTCCATGGAACTGGCATGTATTTTATTCCCCCCAAGGTGTTAATTTGATCCCCCTAAAGTTTAAAATTGAACAAAAGCGTCTAACTGCCAGTAATCCATAGTTGATTAATTTTTGAGAAAAACGGCCTTAAAATCCAGGGGTTTTAAAATAACAAATTTGAGCCAAATAATTAAGTAAATGCAACTATATAGTAAACAAGACAAAAAAAAAAACAAGGACTAAATGGAAAGGGGGGAGGGGATGCACAGTACCTAAGCCCGGGATAATAATTATACCCCAAAATAATTAAGAAATACAACTAATCCCTCCCCCAAGACAACAACACTAGATCACCTTTTCCTAACTTGCCCACAACCAGCCCCAACGAATGAATTACTACCAAAGGAAACCATGTTAGCGCCAATACACCCGCACCTTGCCCAGACACCCCGCCCCACCAAAACCCCCGACACCACCATCTCTACCACCACAACACACCCCAAACCCAAGCCCCCACAAAAAAGTTCACAAATGCAGCACAAACCAATGTACCGCACTACTCACATTAAACCGTCCCCCCCCCGCCACACCCACAACACACCCAGACAGGAGATACACTAAACTCGCACACCCACTCCGCCAATACACGCGCACAGAAATCACCAACGCCCCCATACGCCACCAAATTCCCACACACAATAATCAATGAAAAAAATGCCGTCCCGCATTAGAAAAGATCCCAAACAACCCCCCCAGATGGTACACCACTACAAAGGCAATTGTTTGATACAAAGATTACAGATAGGTGTAAAAGGAAAAATAATGGATTTTAGAAAGAGGAGTCCACTGGGCACATGGTGTTTAAACCCCACTGGGCAGGGGTTGATTGTCACTAGTATGTTGTTTATACAATAGTTTTTTTTATTTTGAAAAAAGTAATAATTATCTTAAACATTCAACGAATTTGTTCGAATCCTGCCTCCAAACAATGTTGTGTCAGGATGATGGGTTCCCCCCAACTCTGAATTTAGGCAGGGCCCCATAAATCTGGAAATGGGGGTGGTGATAATCCTTAACCGTCACCCCACCACTCACCCCCTGGGAGGATCCTGGCACCCAAAAGAAAATCCTGTAGAAAACAATGGCTTAGTACTTAACAAGAAGACCGTCCACGAATGTTGATTCATCCCAGATGTAGACGCACAATTGAAACAAGGTACTTGAGGAGCTCTCCACAGATGGCCCCCAAGCCCCCAATAATCACCCAAAGACCCCTATAGCCTGTAAACAATTAATTTACCCAAACTTAATACCCATTTTTGTGCTTTGAAGTTTTAAATGTTTAAACTTAAAATTTAGTAAACCCCCCAAATTAAGACCCCCTAGTATCTTGATGAAGAAGGAAAAAAGGGGTGTGTGTAAGGGACATACCCAAGAAATACATGTCGACTAATGAAAAGCCCAAGAAAGTTAAACACTGCTAACACAATGGATTTAAAACCCATACCAAATTAATCAATGAAAGGGAAATAAACGATAACATTATTTTTTGGGTGTAACAAAAAAATCTTTTTTTTTCCCCCAAAGGGGGGAGTTGCCCGGTTGAACATCCAGAATGTCCAAAGATGTATAAAAAATCTAAAAGTATATAGCTAACTAGAGCCCTGTTGGATAAGCAAGCTCAAAATATACCCAAACACAAGTCCACCAGTGCCCCCACTGATTTTCCCCCACCCCTACTTTGCCCGTTCCTAACAACGTGGCCCATGAAATATTGTGTTAAATCGTGCCCCCTTGGTGAAGCCCATTTTTTTACTACCCCCACACCGAACCCGAAGCTTCCTGTTTCCATTAAGACGCTTTGATCCCCAGCCCGAGAGGGAAAGCAATGGGTTGTTAGCGAGCAGGCACTCCCAGGCCTCGTCACCCCGGCAATTTTGTGTAGGGGGAATTAAACCCGCTCCAGGAATGAAGGGCCTGCCTATTATTGACACTCATGTGAAATGGTCTCATCCTTCAGAACATATCCCCTGGCCAGCCCCCCACTTAGTCCCCTTTGCCGTCCCCCCCGTTGAAACTGCCCCCCAATAGTTTGGACACCATTAACTTTGAATCCCAAGTGGAAATCCTCCTGTGCACCTGCCAAAAGGAAAGCAGATGTTTTAAGTAACCAAAAGGATTTAGCAGTTAGTACTTTTTAAAAATTGAACCTCCCAAAAAAAGAAGTCAAATAACAAAAGCCACCTGAGGGGGAGACGCAAGAACCCCAATTTTGAGAAAAAAATTGAGTGTGTCCCCAAAACAAAAAAAACCATTATTTTTTTGGTAATATTTGTTTGGCCCCCCCCCCCCCCAATTGACAAAAACTCTTTCTGATATTGAAATGCTTCCTTTTCGGCCCTAATTGTTGATAAGACGAAATTGGGTGTGGGATCGTGCCCAGACCGATACCAATTGGTTCCTCCCCCGTTCATGTGGGGCATCATTGTCATGGGCGGGCCTATCCTTTCACCCCTATGAGACCGCGTCCCCCACCACAAATGACCTGACTGTTTTTGCCTGCCCCGCTAGCAAGAACGATTACAGCCGGACCGCCCCCCAAGTCCCTCAGGGGCCGGTGCCTAATTACTTAGACCTAAAATTGATCTTCTTGTCATCTCTAGTTACTTCATATGTGCACGCTGAACGAGCCGGAAGAGAGTGTGAGAAAACTAGGTCCATGGAGATAACTTGGCCAACCCTCCCCCCCCGTCGGCAGATGTAAGGGGCCACCAAGGTTCCCACAGAAACAGAATCTAGAAAGTGATGGCCACCTTGGTGTTTTTTGGAACATAAAGTTCTTAATGTGAAGAAAAAATGTTGCCTGTAACGTTTTTCCCCTAATCTAATTACACCACACCCATGATTAAATGTGGAAAAAGCTACTTTTTATGTATTTGTGGTTGTTGGGTGTTTTAGGAAGCCCCGGTTTCCCATAGATAAAAGACACAAACTTCCCACATGGTTAAAAAAAAATGGTTAGGTTATGGGATATTTTGGGGCTGGCCCCAGAAAAGTATTCTGGTTTTTTTTCATTTTAGATTTGCCCATCCCCCATGTATAAAATATTCCTGGTCCATTCAAACCCCGAATCTCCACTGCGAGATTACCTAATAAATCTAGGGTGCATGTATTATTTAAAAAACGTATTTTAAAAACAAATATGTTGTGGGCATATATTTTTCTTTGATTAAATTGTTTTGTTAATTGTTAGTGTTGTGTGCCCCCCCAAAAATAAATTTTGATACAATTAAAAAGTTTTAATGGCAGACGCAACCTCCCCCACCTTAGAAACCAACTTCAACAAAGACTAGATGCCCTTTTAAATGAATTCCCATGGTAAAGTCACAGTAAGTAAGTATAGCTTTGCAGTTCCATAAAAGCTTTCATCTTTTACAAGTCAGCGAAGCAGTTAGGGGTTTTTCCCCGAGAGTGAAGGTGGGAATAAAGCGAATCCCCCCAAAAAAGCCAATTTGAATAAAAAATCTGATTGATTGTTAAAAAATTTCGGTGTTCAACTAAATTCTTTATTTCCGTCCTGCATAGTGGGGTAGGATTTTTTCCAAAGTTGTTGGCACCGCCCCCCACAAGTACAAGGAACACTTAGTTAGAAATGAGACAATATACCAAATAGGGGGAAGGCACACCAACAAATAAATTGTGAATGGTAAAAAATGAAAAGTAAAAGCAAACCTTCTTGAAACCTAAGAAATAATAATTGCATAAAGTGTTGTTCTTCCATTGTTTCAACAAAATAAATGCCTCACCAACCAACCCCATAATAATTCCATTTAGTCACCCCACCGGGATTTAAAAAAAGTCCTGCACAGTACCAAATTGAGTTAATCCCCCAAATTTCATCAGGTTGTGTACTAAGAATAGATTGTTGGGGGGTTTGTTTTAAAAAAAAGGGGTTTTTATTTTTTGATTTATAGATACAGAAATATTGGCATGATTGTAAACTTACATAAAGTAAGAGACCAGGGTGAACATTGTTTCCCCACAGTGGGGAACATTCCCCCCCCCGAAAAAAATTTGTTAATCTCAAGGGGGGGGGGGGGGGGGCGGGGGGGAGGGGGGTGGGGGGGGGGGGGGGAAATAAGAAGTTTAAACACCTAGGAAGTTTTTTTACTTCTAAAGTTTGGGTTTTGTGAATGAAAGGGAACAGTATATAAATAGGTCGCAGCAAAGTGTCCCACCCCCCCTTTTCCACTTTTTGTTGTAGTAAAACCAGTGTTGACAGCCAGCCAATGGGAAGAATAGACCTGCACCCGGAAAACCCCTCCCCTCCACGTTCAAACTCAGGCCCGAAGGTGGAACATTAAGTCGTGGCCCCCCACTGGAAAGCCTGCGCCCCACCCCCGGTAGCTAGCGGTCCCACGGGGTTTTGACCTACTACAAAAGACTATTCCATTTACCGCGCTGCCGGAATTTATCAACCAAATTCACCTGCCTTTTTTTCCCCACAATTGTCCTTGGAACGGTTGTTTTTGAATTGGTTATTGTTAATATAGAAAATAAGCCCTGAGTGTATCCAGGTTCTTTTAATATGATGCCGCCTATATGCCTCTTCACACGCCTTCACCAAGATCGTTTCATTTAAGCTCGGGTTTTTCAGTCCGCACACACTGCAATTGCCCCCGATGACAGGAATTGGGATTGTTTTTTTTCGCTCATTGTAAAGATCTTAATTTCCAGGATTTATAGGCCCTGAATACCCCCCGCCTTCCCAAAATAGATGACACCAAACAAAGAGCTCCTAAAAGTTTTTATGGCCACCCCATGCAAGCCGATAACCCAATCCACCCCTTA